AAAAAAAAAAAAAAAAAAATCAATAAAAACATGCTTTTTAAAAAAATAGCTCTTACTTGATTGCTAGCAGAATCTTTTCAATTCTGCATTTTAATGTAGTAAATAAACTGTGAAAGAACTGCTATCATCTATTTCTCATTTGTATCTCTGGCTCTTGATCTTTTGGGTTCCTCTCTGTTTAGAACTTGCCCCCAGAGAGCCCTATGTAATTGTTGAAAATTTCGACTGCATACAAAATCTACTTACAGTGTCGAGTACATTGCCCACCTGCATTAGTGACAGGTTTAAGATTAAATTTCACTTTTTTGTCTTTTGATAGTTGGGTTTGTTTTTAAGGCACATTTTCCACATTTCTTTATGTATGAACACACAAAGGATGTTGCTAAATACCCCACAGGGTGAGTTCTTAGTCGGTTGGCTTCACTAAAGAAACATGTGCTGAACAGATTTGATATAATTCCTAAAATAGAGTTTTGCTTTTTGAACTTGAACCAGCTATCGTGGAATACTGATTCACGTTTGCCAAAGCTCTTATTCCAACACTGGAACAAATAAACCGTTTGACCCAAACTATAAATTGTACACATTTGATCATGTAAACAGAGAAATATAACAACCCATAAAAAATCTTCACAACTGACAAAGAAATATTTTAACAAGAGAATCCTACTTGTCCACATTTCTTATATTTAAGGGGGAGTTTCATTACTTTAACTTTGATATGTATAGTTTTCTGAACTAAAAGAACAGTGAAATTATTAAATAGTACTTTGAAATTCAAGTTAATAATTGATCTAAGCTGGAGGTGATAATTGGGGGAAGTTGTGATTTTTTTTTTTTTTTAACCAAAAAATAATTTTTAATCTTTTATCCAAATATTTATTTCAGATTGTATCCGCTGTCCAGTATTGTCATCAAAAGTGCATTGTTCACCGTGATCTTAAGGTAAGCCCTGATTTTATAACATAAAATTTTAAACTATTAACGGATAATTTATAATATTAGAGCTATCTCTGGTTACCTAATTGTGCCAGGCACTATACAAGGAAATTAGTTTTTATTTAATCTTCACAGCACTTTTACAAAAAGCAGTATTTTCACTGGGAAAATGAAGAAAATACATAAGTAGTTATCTAGCAGGAAAGGCTAGAGGATTTGATTTGCCATTACTAAGCTTGTTTTAATAGATGAATGTGGGACTTTGTCCCAAACTAAAAATGCTTAAGGTCCAATTCAGTGAGAAGCAAGGTCCGGGCACAAATCCACGTTGGTCTGATATAAGACCCAGGTCTCATTCTTTACATCGAAGCTCAAAGGAAAAACTTAAAACATTTTTATGAGCATCGAATGCATGTGATTAGTATAAAGTCGCATACTTTGGTATAAGAAATATGTGATAGTCATAGTCAAGAAATGTTTGTGGCAGTGAACATCGGAGCACAGATATCTCTGTGAGGTACCAATTTCATCTCCACTGGGTATATATCCCGAAGCGGGACTGCTGGATCACGTGGTAGTTCTAGTTTTAGTTTTTCGGGGGCCTCCGTACAGTTTTCCGTAATGTCTGCTCCAATTTACACTTCCTTCAGTAGTGTGCAAGGACCCCCTTTTCCCTACACCCTCCCCAACACTTGTGTTTTCGATGACAGCCGCCAGACAGGTGGGATGGTACCTCATTTCGATTTGCATTTCTCCGATGATGAGTGATGTCAAGCACCTTTTGGCCATTTGTGTGGTCTTTGGAAAAATGTCTGTTGAGATGCTTTGGGCATTTTTAAATTGTTTGTTTTTCTGCAATTGAGCTCTGTGAATTCCTTATATACAGGGTGGGGCGAAAGTAAGTTTACAGCTGTGAGTACCCAAAACACAGAGTTAATTGTTGTATTATTATTGATTAATTATTGCATTGTTTTCCATGCAAACAACTGCAAACCTACTTTGCCCCATCCTGTATTTTGCATATTAACCCTTTATCCGGCCTATGGTTTACAGATATCATCTCCCAATCCATAGGTTGCCACTTAATGTTAGGCGTTACTCCTTTTGGAACCTGATAAAACACACCTACAAAGTAACCTATAACTTTGTTAGTCTGTCAGTTGTGAGAGTTTGAAACAAAATATGTTCAGAAGCAAATGCTTTATTGAATCGCTTGCATTTACAGAAAACACATTGAAAACTTTTTCTCTGAGTGATTCTGATTTAGGATTTTGGAAAACAGCATCTCAAAGCAAGGGGAGGGGGGAAATCAATGCTTCCTACCGTAACGTGCCTCCAGAAGGGAATCTAGATTTTAACAGTACAAGGAAGCTTAGAACAGACGAGATCTAATGGCGCCTGCATTGTACTGTGTTGTTTTCCTGAAAGAAGAGAACTTTGGTAGGAAGCATCCTCTAAGGGGACACAGGAGGGCACCCGACAGTCGTGGCAGAAGCCCGGATAGGCAGTTACTGTGGGTGTCGGCCTTGCACTGACCAGCGGTCCTCTGCTAAAACCGGGCGCTGGCGGGTGACTTGGGCTAAGCCCCGAAGGGGTTAGTGTCACGCTGACGGATGTCCTTTGGACTAGGCCAGGCTAAGACGCGGTTCCGTGGGTTTTAAATGGCCTTTCTGGAACCGCTGCAGAGATGCTTGAAGTCGAGAGCTTCCCCTGGGCAGCGTTAGGGCCAGCCCTCCCCGGATGCGGCCCTGGCGGCTGTGCGGGCGCGGGCGCCCCGCTGGGCCCCTGCCCCAGTTCCTACCCTGACAAAGCGGGGGGCAGGCGGTGAGGACGGGGGGCTGACGGGTGCATGGGCTGCCCCCTGCCACGCGGGCTCTTCACATTGTCTTCTTGTTATTTCCCTCTTAGGCTGAAAACCTTCTCCTTGATGCTGACATGAATATTAAAATTGCTGACTTTGGTTTTAGTAACGAATTTACAGTCGGGAGCAAACTGGACACATTTTGCGGAAGCCCGCCCTACGCTGCTCCCGAGCTCTTCCAGGGAAAGAAGTACGACGGGCCCGAGGTGGACGTGTGGAGTCTCGGCGTCATTCTGTACACGCTGGTCAGCGGCTCCCTGCCCTTCGACGGCCAGAACCTGAAGGTACTGGCGGCGGGCGCCCGCGCCCCCTCCCGCGCGCCCCTTGAGACAAGCGCCCTCTCCCGCCCTCTTCTGCAGGAGCTGCGGGAGCGCGTGCTGCGGGGCAAGTACCGCATCCCCTTCTACATGTCCACCGACTGCGAGAATCTGCTCAAGAAGCTCTTAGTGCTGAACCCCACCAAGAGAGGCAGCTTGGAAGTAAGTCGGCCTGGGCGCCCCAGGCTTAAGGGGAACTGGGAAAACACTCCAGGAACCTTCGAAGAGCATTTTAAAATAATTTTTTTTTCCTGTGTGTGCTTTTTTTTTTTTTCTTTAAGGAAAATTACGAAACCATCTCATTAGTCTTCTAGAAAGTAACACGGTTCTTCTGCTAGTCAAAAGTCATCATAGTAGGTTTCTCTAAAGACTGTGATTTCTCCTCTGTCCTGAAAGGACAGATTACATTAAAACTATAAAAACTGGGATGAAACGGACTTCTGGTTGGAGGAGGAAAAACCTAGCCTCTGGCAGACGGTGCCGGACCCAGCGCAGAAACCGTAGGTTTAGGAGGTACAGGTATTTCAAAGATAAAAGAAGGGAGTGAAAATTCTAATCCAGTAAATACTTCACGGCCGTGTCCGAAGTGAGTGTCTGATATTTGAAAACTTAATAGAAATCTCTCAACGTCAATACAGAAAACTTACAAATATTTAAGTAGAACGTTGGGAACGGATATTCCATTTCTCAACACACTGTTGTGTTACCTACCTGCGTTCCACAGACGAGCGTATTTATAATAATAGGTGCTGTTGTACATGTGGTAAGAATATCATCAGGGGTTTATGTAACCGGAGTGTCTAACCTTGGTTCCCTCTGGTACTGCAGTTAGAAAAACTTGTTTCTGAAATGTTTTGCCCATCTCCTCTCGAAGAGTGACATTTTAGCCTGGACTGAGATGATTTCAGGGATTCTTCATATATTGTTCACTGGGACTTTCTTGTCGTCATTTATTTGGCTGAATAGATAGGGTATAAAAATCAGAGCCAATAAACTGTACTTTTTTAGAGGTTAAAGACTGGAAAATGGAAAGAGAGAGGGGATAGCACAAAAATTTTTCAGTTTCTTTCTAATAAAAAATCTAGACACATCAACATTCAGATAAACAGGATATAAACAGTGTACAATACAAAAAATACAAATACTTTTAAAGTCACGTGTGATACGGTCCCATCAGTACAGCCAGGAAGAGCTGACAGCATCGTAGACACAACCTGAAAAAATTACAGAACAGTGTAGAGCTAGAAACAACCACAGGCCATGCGCGCAGACGACAAAATTAATTTCACTAATTTTATTTTCACGTAGGTAGTTCATTTGTAAGGCTTTAAGAAGTACTTTAATAAAATTTGCAGTCCTATCTGAGAAGCAACAGGAAGGTGTTAAATAAGAAGCTTAGTAAGTACAACCTCAGAAGCAGATGATGTACTTTACAACCGTTGAAACCATTTAAAAAAAATTATTTCCACCTGGCCGTCCTAAAGTCCATCATTTTTAAAAAATATATATTTTTATTGATTTCAGAGAGAGGAAGGGAGAGGGAGAGAGAGAGAGAAACATCAATGGGGAGAGAGTCATTGATCGGCTGCAGCCCACAACCCGGGCATGTGCCCTGACCAGGAATCGAACCATGATCTCCTGGATCCTAGGTCAGTGCTCAACCGCTGAGCCATGCCAGCCAGGCCATCATTTTTTTTTTTTTATGTGCACCTAAGTGTATAGTGTGTATTTCCATTGTTAAGTTGTTTAATTCCTCTTGGAGACTCCCACCACTGTCATCATCTGTGGGCTGAGTCCTAAATCTCCACCCCTACCCAGGTTTCTCCTGAGCTTTGGAGGTGTTTAAAGAACATGTCAGCTTGGATATCCCACAGCTCCTCAAACTCACCTTGTCTGAAACCGAGCTCTCTCTTCCCATCCTGTCTGCTTCTCTCCCTGAGCTTGTTGCTCAGTAAATGGCATCACTACTCAGTTGTCTAAACCAGAAACCTGGGCATCACCTTCATTGTCTCTCTTCTCTCCCCATATCCAACCATGAGGTTTTGTTCATGTTTACCAGCCATATGTTGAAAATGTCTTTTTTCCATCGTCCCTGCCCACCTCTCATTCAGGCTGGCCTCTTCTCTCTCCTACACTCTAGCTCTTAGTTGATTCTGTGCCTCTGGCCTTGAACCCCCCCAACCTGCGCTCCACACAATGGCCAGGGAGACTTTTCAAATTCAGACTCTCCCGAAACCTTCATGATGTGGTCCCTGTTCACTAAACTAGAGCTGAAGTAAGTGGTTGAATGTTCTGGGTGGCCAAACATAATGTAGAATTTACTTCCTAGCAAATAATGAAAGATCGGTGGATGAATGTTGGTCACGAAGAGGAAGAGCTGAAGCCATATACGGAGCCTGAGCCGGATTTCAACGACACCAAAAGGATAGGTAAGTGTCTAAACACTGTGGGGGTGCTGTCCCTAGGCTATAATACAGCCCTTTAGTTTACCAAAGTAGCACTTAACAGCATAAAGAGGAAGCAGTTTTTATTTGAAAAATACCTGCATGATTATCTCTTCTTTCCCCGAATGTACACTAAGCGTTGCAGATTTCACGTTCCCTAGTTTGTTCTCATGCATATTCTAATCTAATTCAGTTGTTGGCAGCAGTGATACAAACATTAAAATAATGCAGTAAACCTCATTCTTTCCTAACTTCCAACAGGCAGAATGACTGATTTAAGTATCAGCACTGAGCAGACTGATAAATATCAGCAAAGCATAGCGTGTGTTTCAACCGAAAATGTCCAGGCCCGGAGTTAATATAATAGGGCCTCTCCTTGTCTGTTTTCTGCATCTCAGCAGGGTCTCCTCCCATGCCCAGCCCCTTTCTGCTGCCAAACCGTCCTCTTTTCTCCCTCTCCCTTCCCACAGCCGTTAGAAACTCAAAATGGAATCATCTCAACTGTACTCCTATCTGGCTTCAGGGCAGAGGGAGGAACATTCTGGGTGTTAGGAATCCAATCAGAACAAGTGTGGAATTCAAGCCTTCAAGGAGGAACCAACCTGCCTTCAGATCGGAAAGCAGAAATTGTCAAGAGATGAGAGAAACCACTCCCTGAGAGGCTGAGGGTGTGTTGAGAGAGAGAGAGAGAAGGGATTCGTGTGTCACACGCAGATAGATATTGTGTCTCTGGGTGGACAAAGGAATTCAGCTCTGGAATGTGCTAGGCAATGAGAAATGGAATGGGTCCCATCATATATAACCCATGGTATAGATAATCTCTGCGTGAAAAATCGTGAACATACAGTATCTGAATGTTAATAACCCAGAAGTCTCTATCATTGATATTCCATTTTAACATTTTAGAACTTTGTTTTCATATCTAATGTTGGCAAGCTTGGCCAATTCTTGTTCATCTGTTTACTAAAATAAAACTATTTGCATAAAATTTGCATTTTTTTCAAATTTCCAGATGTCATGGTCACCATGGGTTTCGCAAGAGATGAGATAAATGATGCCTTAATAAATCAGAAATACGATGAAGTTATGGCCACTTACATTCTTCTAGGTAGAAAACCACCTGAAGTAAGTTTTGCACCTTTTTTAGATCAATATACATCATTTCTTGGGCTAGTGATGGCCAAGTATAATATAAAACATCAGCAAATATATTCTGTGTGGTATCAGAAATAGCTTAAAGACCGTAACATTCTTATGTATTAGAATTAAAAACTCAAGAGGCTACGTTATGAACTGATTTTATTTCTGAGTACCAAGAGATTCTATCATGGAAAAGCAGGCCTAATGCCTTAGCCATAAGAGGTACCATTCACGGTCTAGTCTTTGAGAATGGCACCCCCCAGAGTTGTGCATCCAAATGCAACACCCCTACCAAAAGTAATATGGTTATCCTGGGTGTGCAGAAAAAACAATGGCCGAAACAGGAGCAAGCGACAGCATTTACAGCAAAGTGTATGTCTTCAGTGACTTGTATAGGTGGGGACCCAGAAAAAAGTTGGTGACGTTGTACCTGAGAGAGTGTTAAGTGGCTTTGATGCAGTCAGCTGGGATTTCTCCAGGCCAGGCCAGGTCTATCATGAGCTGGATTTAGGAAATAACTCTATGCAAATGGCTATTGAACCATAAAAAGCAAATGGTCCTTGGGGACGGCAGATATAACAGTTTAAATCGAGTGTCAAGAACAGAGCCCAGAGTCCAGATGGTTTGTTGAAAACTTGACATCTGTGGGAGCATTTTATAGAATCGGCTGAAATTATTTGTAGCTCGACCATAACTTTTAGTGAAGGCAGTATATCCAGCTGGCGGTTCCTGTGTGCTCTGTTGCTGTTATCTAATTTTCATCAGCAGTATCACCCTGCTATTTGTCGTTAGCATCTTTACGTACGAATCTGGGTCACCCTTTGGGACGGCAGTGATTCAATAAAAAGTTTGCTGGCAACAAACATCTTTTATGTTACAGAGAGAGGGATAGTGTATCGACCCCCAGTGGACCTTGCTTGGTTCTAAGGAGGTGCAATTCCTTGATCAGAGCTGGTAAACCAAACTTGTTTCTGTAAATGGGGTTGGAGATAACCAAACAAAGCAAAAAAATATGTGCGCACACGTGTGCACATGAAGTTAAAATTTTAGATTTTACCTTCCTTTGAATCCAGAGATGCCCCTTGACTCTCTTAACCTCAGTTTTTCCATCCATAAAGTGCAGATGAATAAATCAGGTTTTTTGGTAATGATTCAACAAAGTAACCTATGTAAAGAGCTTAGCACAGTCCATAATGGCCATTCAATAATCGTGAGCAGTTATTTGGTGTTTTGACTAAACTAAGGATCCAGAGCCATTTGGACAAGAAAACAGGATCACACGTGCTCATGGAAACACGTTATGTCCATTTCCTTCCCTTCCTGTTTGCCAACTGGGAGTTCTGTACCCAAAGTATTTTTTTTTTTTTAACTTCTGATGACTCCTTGTATGGCTTGGAATAGATTAGAAAAATCGAGAGTGTACATCGGCTGCATAAACATCTTTCTGTGTTTGAAGCCCTGATGGTCTTTGTTTTTTCTAGTTCGAAGGCGGTGAGTCATTACCCAGTGGAAACTTGAGTCAGAGGCCCCGGCCCAGTAGTGACCTAAACAACAGCACTCTCCAGTCCCCCGCCCACCTGAAGGTCCAGAGGAGCATCTCGGCCAATCAGAAGCAGCGGCGCTTTAGCGATCATGGTGGGGGAAAGTCACACCGGTGACAACAGCCCGATTCCCTCCGAACTCCTGCTTTTTAGGCCATTGCCCATCCACACCTTCATGTGCCCGTGTCATCCATCCCTGTCACCGCAGGCTCCATTATTGAATGACAAACTGAATCCCATTTGCAGGGACCCACCTAATTTTCGTAATTAATCAGTTTCCTCTTCCTTCCGAGAGTAAAATATGCAAAGAAAGATATTTTTAACACAGTTTTTGTTCTTAAGAAGAAAATATGTCAGTTTTTGTAGCTCATTAGATTTTTTGGTGTTTTTTTAAAATTACAGCTGGTCCATCCATCCCCCCTGCCGTGTCCTATACAAAAAGGCCTCAGGCTAACAGCGTGGAAAGCGAGCAGAAAGAGGAGTGGGAGAAAGATGGGACAGCTCGTAAACTTGGCAGCACCACGGTGGGATCAAAGAGCGAGATGACTGCCAGCCCCCTGGTGGGGCCAGAAAGGAAAAAATCGTCAACTATTCCCAGTGTGAGTCAATAGTCTGGCCTATTGCAGTTTGTGGTGGTCTGTTGCCAGGAGTTTTTGTTTAAAGATTTTTTTTAAAAATCTATCTTTAAAAAAAAAAAAATGTTTCAAAATTTCAAAGTGGATCGTGGATTTAAAGAACATGCAAAAGGGGCCAAGCTTCTCGTAAATGCAATTCAAAAGCACAAAGATAAAATGCGAATCCTTTAAATTAAACGCCCCTGCCTCGTTTTTCCCGTTCGTAAAACTCACAATCTTATATCGGCGCATTAAATTTTATGTTTACAGATCAAGTGTTCAATGAAGGCAGATGCTGTTAACAATTACTTTAAAAACTTAGCTCTCGCTATTCACTTAAAACAGCAAACTCTAGAAATGATACAGTGGGAGCTGGAAGAGACTGAGGTGTCTTCTCGTAAGGCAGGAGAAAAGATAAATGGGGGAGAGAACGGAAAAGAGCCCTGAGGCATGCGATGTGTGTAGACCTTGTGATTAAACACACCCATGGGGCTTTTGGTTTGTTGCTTCCCCCTCATTTGTCACTTCCGTTTATTTCTTTGACTTTGCTCAAGCGCAGTTGGAATTTTCAAATGGCTTTTCTCTTTAAAGAACCATGTGTATGCTGGAGGGAGCATGGCTCGGAGGAACACGTACGTCTGCGAAAGGACCACAGACCGATACGCGGCCCTGCAGAATGGGAAGGACAGCAGGTAGATGTCACAGTGCCCGGTGATTCCACTGTGTCACTGCCCTACAACCCCGTGCTGATGGGTCAGAGGAAAGGAAACCCAAGATAGTAGGATCGCAGCCAGCCATCCTTCTGTACCAGGGGGCGGGGGTGGGGAAATATTTAGGGAAAACAGGAGGTGAAGCTCTGAACCTGAGACTTTCCGAAATAAAATCTTTTGCAAATTTTATTTTCTGTTTGCCTGTGACAAAGCAGATCACCCCACCCTAGTCTGATCTCCGTAATCTGCATCGTTTTCTCCTGTACCCGCTGCTTCCCTCTTCCCTCCTGCCCCTCCCTCAAGTCAGCACTGCACCCAGATAACGAAGGCGTGAGTTTTCTGCCTCTGACGAAGCGTGGCCGTCCCAACTGACCATGGGGAGCCGAACTCCTCTAAACTACCGTTTAAATAATGATAAACATGTTGCTTTTTTATTTAAAAACTTTAGCTTCTTTTCATCGTGAGGTATAATACATCACTATTTATCAATATAGTACCAAAGGGCAGGGAGCTTATTCTAATGAAACTCTGTGCTTAGTTCCATCCCCAGGCACTTCAGTAGACTGGACGGTCCGCCCTTACATTCGTTTCCTCTCAGTTAATAGACCCGCAAAGTAGGAGTCTATTCATTGTGAGTCATAGGAAGGTATCTCCTCGGACATCGATCCTTTAGGCTAGAATAGTTGGGGATTGATTTCCAACTTTTTTTTTCCTTTCCCGAGGCCTAATCTGAAGTCCTTTAATCTACAAGTTAATCTATGGATTGATGATAGGAGCTAAAAGTGTTTTAATTATGCTTCCAGCAGGCATATTTTTGCTAAAATTATGAATTCATTTTGTATAACGAATGATACCAAACTGTGATTTTGGGAAAGTGGAAAATGCCCCCAGTCACAGTCATTTTACCCATAAAAATCATTTCATCTCAGAATCACATAGAGAGAGGGCAAGCGTGTGTGATCTTTATTTCCCATGGAAGGTGGGGTAAGTTCATCCTGTACATCATTAACAGGAATATTCACCTGTCAGACACTAATATGCCACTAGTGTTAATTTCCTCTAAGCGTTTTAGTTATGAGCAGTGTTAGCTGGTTAACTTTTAAAAATGTAGTTCTTAAGTTTTGGTGAACCTCTCTTCTGCGTTTCTGTCTTATGTCCAAAGCCTCACGGAGATGTCGGCCAGCAGCTTGTCTTCCGCAGGCTCTGCCGTGGCCCCTGCTGTCCCCTCAGCACGACCGCGCCACCAGAAGTCCATGTCGGCATCCGGCCACCCGATCAAAGTTACACTGCCAACCATTAAAGACGGCTCCGAAGCTTACCGACCCGGGTAACGTGCCAGTTGCATTTCATTTTGTTTATTAAAGGGTTGGTGTTTCCAAAATACGTTTTTACTGATTTTAGAGAGAGGAAGGGAGTGAGAGAGAAACATCCACGGGAGAAGCATCATTCGGCTGCCTCCTGCACGCCCCTGCTGGGGATGGAGCCACAGCCGGGCATGTGCCCTGACGGGCAATCAGACTGGCGACCTCATGGTACATGGGACCATGCTCAACCCACTGAGCTACACCAGCTGGGCAAGAGTTTTTAACAATACGGCACCATATGAAAATCCATTCCAGGCATCATGCCATTAAGAACTTTGTGAAAAGATGACGTGGCTGTGGCAGGGGAAGAGGTGAATTGGAACGAAACTTACCACCTCCCAGGCTCTCCAGAAATATTGCTTATAATTTAAATCATTTCCAGAGGAGTCTTCTTGAAGGATTTTATTTAAAATCCATCCTTAAAAGTAAAGCATTGCTGCCTGATGGATCATTTAGGTAAATTGAGTTTTTTGATGATTTAAAAACAAAAAGTCCTGAGGCCGGGAGTTGAGAGCCCTGGGCAGTCGTCCTGGCTCCTGCCAGGTACTACTTCTCAATAAAACCGGCCTTTTAGTTTCCCGTCGGTAAAGCCGGTGCTCAGAGAGCCCTTTCGGGTATAAAGTCGTGTGACTGTGTTCCTGGTACCGGCCTGTGTTAGGATTTCTCCAATTCGGGAGCACCTTCGGTAGTTAGGTGTGTTGATGGTGTCGGTGGTGTGGCTGGAGCCTGGTGCTGTGGTGAGGCCGAGGTTCTGAAGAGGCAGGGACTCTGTTCACCGGCTTTGGATAAACAGTAACGTGTGTGTTCCATGTTGCTGAGCAGCTTAGGTTAAGATAACAGTAAAAATATATGCGTATATATGCCTATATACGTATGTGTATATATATACATATATATGTGTATATACATATGTGCAGCCCCCTGGTTTGGCATTTCTGCTACTGAAGGGGGGATTTCCCTTTGTATTCCTGCGGCTACATTTTTATGAAAGTCGTTTGGTCTCGAACACATTGTTCCGCCCGTGACGCTGCGGCAGGTACGGCCCGCCCGGCGGGGGCCCGT